TGGATTGATTCCTGTGAGTCCGGTATTACTTCTGCAAGCTTTGCACATCTGATATTGTGAATATGAAGCTTTCCACATTCTACTTGAGAGATTCTAGGCATTGTAATGAATGACCTAAGAGTATCTTCAAAATTATTCAAATGAAGTTTGGGCTGGTTGTACAGTGGCGGCGGCTATTGATGCAACACCCAAATCGGGAAGAAATTGTCACACATGTGTTACATCGAGTGAAAACGCACCATTTTGGTATTTACAGCTATGCTACAGGCTAGAAAATATACAGCAAGGGTACAGTAGGGTACAATAGGTGTATTAGTAGTCAATCCAAGCAAAATTATTGGCTTTTAGCTGCACTAGACGACGAGGAAGGGAGTTGTAGGTATGAATAGCGTACTGCTTGAAGGATTCCGAGTGCCAGATTTCGCGGCACATTTCCAGCAGCCTCTCGTTGGTTGCAACTGTTGGGTAATCCGGGTGTTGACGAAGCCGACGCTTGAGCTCGGCCCACACGTTCTCGATCTGCGAGATGTCTGGTGATGCGGGTGGCCATGGCATCGTGTTGATGCCCTTGTCCTTGAGGAATGCCTTGGCCAAGCGTGATGTGTGCTTCGGGTCATTGTCCTGCTGGAAGATGAGGAAGGAGCAGCGGGTGGGGGAGCTGTCATAGTGGTCGATGATGGGGAGGAGACCGCGTTTGAGAATGTCGACATATTGATGCGCGTTCATGAGACCTTTGACTTCGATGAGCTCGCTGACGCCCTCGGGGTGAATGGCGCCCCAAAGCATCAGCTTCATTTTGCCTCGACCATGCCGGTGCTCTTGCTGCACATTGCGGGGCACCAGCAGATCCTGGCCACGACGCCGCCGGCAGTAACGACGCCCATCCGAGCCGCCAACCATTATCTTTGTCTCGTCTGAATTAATCATGACACCGCGAGCAAAGATAGCAGGGTCGGTCCAGGACTCGAACTGCTCGTACCACTGCTTGCGGAGGTTGTAGTGGGGGGGTGTGAAGGGGAGTTTTTGACGCTGGACGTGGCCAACAAGACCATGACGATGGAGAGAATCCCGGACCTAAAGAAAAAAGTCAGTGAAAAGTGATTGGAGTGATGCATTGTCGCGCACCGTACGGGCTGGAATGTGCGGGAACATAACCCTCTGCACATCTGCCCCATCCGTAACGTCCCCTGCCTCCAACGCCGCCTCCACCCGCTCGATATCCTGCTCTGTGATTGATGTCTTCCTCCCGGCCTTGCCCTTCTGCTTGTCAAGGTGCACATTGTCACCGTTCTTTTTGACACTCTTGTAGTTCCGAAAGAGTGCCGACTTGTCGCACATGGACAGGCGCGGGTGCTCAGCGATCCTCTGCCACGACCACTCAAAGTCGTCCCGCAGCAGGAGGACCTGCGCGCTCTTTCCAGGAGTAACCAGCGAGTACTTGCGGCGCTGCCGAGGCGTACCCGGCTGTGTGAGGTGCACAGGCATGGCCAGGAGGAGGGAGGGAAGAGGGGTGGCGGAAACCGGGTGCTGCTGGCTTTTATACGACCGGTGGCGCTGGTTGTTGAGGCCAGTGGCGCTTGTTGACTGCCTCATGCAGTCAACAAACACGCCGTGACCCAACAGACGCGTCTGTGGGCCAACGACGCGTCGAGGAAATCAGCCGACAAGGTCGGAGGCAAGTGGGTCACACGAAATAACGCTTTTGATCTACTCTACCAAAATGGGACATTGCATCAATAGCCGCCGCCACTGTATATAGCCTTCACTTCATCAACAAATTCACTATAACTGTGAGGAGGCTGGTAGCTGTCAAGGTCCCTCCAACTGAATTGTTTGACAGGTGGAACATAACAGGTTAAGCACTCCTTCTTGTCCTGCTCATTGACTATGGGAGCACATTGGATAATTCTATTTATTTGATAAATGTAATCATCCAAATCATCAGGACCATCAGTTTTGAGTCTAGGACGATCTTCATCCAAAACATTTGGAACTTGAAAAGGAACCAAGAATGACATAATTGACCAGCAATTCTGGGTAGGGGATTAAAATGAAGAAAGAAAAACTGAATTGAAGAGAAAGTAAAATTTGATCAAGTTTCTTTGTCCTTGTCAAATAATTGGTAAGTAGTATTGTCTTCTCACTACTTGGGTATATCTAAGCTTACACTTAGATCTTTGATCTGGTGGAAAGTGTGCAAGATTCCTTTTGAATTATGCAATTGGATTTCTGAATGAACCCCCTCGCGGTGGGCTCCAATATAATACACTGGGAAAGTGAACTAATAGAGGAGTTCAATCAAGACCTCAACCCTATTAATCTACTAATCCACTAGTTTTTTGTGTATGTGTGTGTGTTCGGGGGTTCGAGTTGCAGGAAACAACTAACTGATTTAGAATATCCAAATATAGCAATAGAATCTGCTTATTGAGAACTTTCTACAGATCACTTTGTACTGTTGTTATGAAACACAGAAGAAGGAACAATTAAGCTCAACCTTTAAAGTGCTTCACAAAATGAACAAGAATATGTATCTGTTCTTGACACAAGATACTAACTCAAATATGCAAACAAACTTGCTTCCTAGCCACTTGTTTCTTACTATAAACAAGATCCCTTGCTTCCTTGTCCTTGCACTTAACCTAACTTGACTACTACCTGGTTACCTGGTTACCTGGTTGTCACACTTGTGACCTAGCTGCCTTGCTTACTTGCCAAATATGGTAATAAGTGGGGTGGGATTCGTTCTTCTTATCTACTACAATCGAGCTCCTTATATACTACTCAGAAATTAATTATGTAATGTGACAATTAAACCAATGATGTGACAAAAGAAGCACTATGACTCAGTTGGAGTCAGTATGACTCAGTTCGAGTCATTGTGGCTGTGCATTCTAGAATATTCTGGACAATCAATCTTCTATATTGGAATGTTCTATTCCCATAACCAATGGTTCTGGTTCAGGTCTAGGCCGGAGTTCTGTGGCTGTGCTGCTAGAGCGGTCCAGAGCTGGTATTCTTAGCATTTCTGTATCTAGACTCATATAATTCTGCTATAACTTTGAAATGTTCTCAAGTATTTAGAGCATTCAAATCAGAATATTTGCTCTGTTTGATCAGTTTCTAGATGTGCTCCATTTACAGGCTCATCACCACCAACCCAATATGCAACTAAACCCCAAACCAAAACAACCTCCTCCTAATATGGTAACAGTCACAGTCACAGTCACATCGAATATATTTGTTGTTGTTGATATATTATTTGTTGTTTTTATTGTTGTGGTGGATAGCACTGAAGCCAGCATCAAGAGCATCAAACAATATGCCATATATAGCAATAATGTTCCAGATATGGGTCGCTCCATCAGGTGAGGGCGACGTTCCATATTAGGCAAGACGCGTCTGAGCATAGTCGCAGTCTTCCTGCTCAACCAACTCCTATATCATAGGTCGTCTCGGACCGACGGCGTTGACGTTTGACAGCTGACGTTGATGTTGACAGATGTTCCTTAATAGATACCCCGCAGCCGCGATCGTGATTCGTAATCTCGCTGAGTCAGATCAAAAGCAGCGCAAGAGGTGAGGAAACCCAGAGGGGAATTCACTGTCTATCTAGGTACAAAAGGCCCCCAATATATACATTTTGGCTCGTCACTCCGTCACGGTACTGCAGTCACTCCACAGCGCCCTCGTCGCTACCACTGCCCCCTCGTCGCTGGCGACGTTGCCTCGTCTCCTTAACGGCTTACACTATGCTTAGTGAGCTGCTGAGTAAGCCTTAGCAAGCCTTACTCATCGCACTAGCTTGCCTCCCGCCCTCTTGCTGTGCTTTGCTCTTCGACGGCCACCACCCGCCGTGTCGCCCGCCCTTCACCAGTTATGCTAATACTATAGTATTTCAATCAGTTCGTCAGGGGGCTGGTCACGCAGCCAACCCCCCTGACAAACTGAAGCTTTTGTCAGTGGCGGAGCCGCTGCATCACTGACAAACATATTTGTCACACAGAAGCCCCAGCCAGCCACTCTGGCCTAAGCCGCCTTTCACCAGGTCCAGTTGGGATTTCAGTTCGAATCTGAATCAGACTGGACTGAATGTACATTTGACATTCAGGTTTGACCAAAGCCATTCCTGGGCCCAGGTTTGAGCAGGTCCAGCTATTTTCAGGCTAAAAATGTCAGTTCGGGACTGGTTCACACCAGAGTTCGGTGTTCAGGTTCAGCAAAATTTGGATTTGAACTGAACTGGAGTCTGGCATTATTCAGACAAAAATGGCCAAGAACTGGGCCAAACTAGACCAAATCGGACTTAGCCATCACTACCTGGGACCACTATTAGTGGTATTTCACCTTGAAAAAATATATCAAAACTATGTGGTGCTAGGCACAATCAGGCTGCTTGGCCTGAAGTGTTTATGAAACCTAAAAACCGGTTTATAAACAGGGTCTTAGGGATTTTTTTTTACAAACTGTTTGTTAATAGAGGTTATTAGCAGCCCCAATTCTAGCAAAATACAGAGGACTGATGCGTGAAAACTAAGTATGATTTGAGCTACACTTGTAAATTTTGGGAGAAAAGTGCCTGGTTGCATGGCACAGAGAAGTGGTAACATTTTAAAAGATGTAAGAACAACTCCACCTTTCAGTTGATTGACTACAAGTTACGAGGTAAACCAAAATTCATAAACCTGTTTTTTTTCTTTTTCGCTGCTGATAACCTATTTTTTTTAATCTATGAAACAAGTCCTAAGTCTCAAGTTGATCGGGATTCGGGAGACTTTGAACATCAATTATGGAAACATCTATCAAGTCCAAGTCTGTCAGATAAGCTGTCACCTACTGTCTGATGAGCTATGGTTGGGCGACGAGTACAGGAGCTACCCGAGAAAATCTAAAGACACTGATGTCATCCCCTACGTATGCCTCACCTTGTGTATATTTAGCAGTGACACTTGAAGACTATATAAACTGTGGAGGCGACTCCTAGTTGTTGCCATTGTTGAATCATGATGGCTCTCCACCTCTCACTCAGTCTAAGGCTGCAAGTCTCTTTTTTCTGTCTCAATCAACTTGATTTATAATGAAAACAGTGCTTGCCTTTCCACCTTCTTCCTAGTTGTTGCCGGGATATCAAATGTTAGATTCCCTCAGGTGTCGCAAGTTGAGCCCGGCCATCGGATAGTCATTAGTTGGGACATTGAGTCCATTCATGACGTGTAAGTCTTTTGTTGGGTTTCTTTAGAACAGAGTCATTAACATTAGGACAAAGGAACACAATTGATGTTGTATTGGTCAAATCTGGCTGGAACCAACTTGTAGTTGTGTTTGTCTATGGCTCCTTTCTTGTTCTGACTCTCGACTAAGGTCACAGACTCTCCGAAGCACGATGCAGTTGTTCTCAGTGGTGCTGTCGACGTGCAAGCTAAAGCAGTCAGTTTCATTCTGCCTGATGCAGACGAAGGGTAACTTTCCGATTTAATGCCCACTGCTACTCACCTTTCATGCCTCCACAGAACATACTTGTTGACGATATCGGAGTCACAGTCGCCAGATACACACCAGAAACGCAGTATCTTGTCTTCCTCGACGCCTTTTATCATCGCTCCAAGGCGTATCCACTTCACCCCTACCGGCCCCGGCGCCAGTGTGGGGACACAGACAATCGCACCGTCCTCGCGCTCACTCTCCGCTTTATCGTCTAGTATCTCCGTCGTCTTATCAACCTTATCGACCGGTGACACAGCAGGGTTAAGCTCCTTGTCGAGTGCTGCCTCGTCTGCGTTATCAGCAATAGAAAGCGACGCCAGCAGAGTAAGCTCGGCGGAGAGCGTCAGCGCGACGTCTACACAGACACACGATCCCAGTGCGGCGTCGAGAGAGGTTGTGGCGAATCGATTCGCCGTTGCATGCGGGCTGGTGGTGGCTGGTGGTCTGGTCCTTGGGGTTGGATTACTCTAGTCTCCCAGTCTGAGCCTCTGACTGGCCTCTGAGGTCGCTGGTACATAATACAAGCATGGCAACATGGAAGTTCTGGAAAAAGATCTGATGTCCTTGGCGTGGGACGCCGCGCCGATCGACAACTCGAAGAAAGCAACACTCATTTGAGATTGAAGCCCGTTAAAGTTCCCTGGCCAGGGTGTATTCCTGCCCGAGCCATCCACTCCGTATACCACGTTGATTCAGGGCGTAAGTATACCTTGCGAGCTTAGAACTGCGGATTCTAGCGAAAATTCCGAATCAAAACGTTGTCAATCAGTTTTTTACCCCTACATGCGTCACACCTCATTTTCTTGGCTTTCTGCTTTTTCTTCCCTCCGCCCCGTCCACTCCTTCACCCACACACCCACCCAGCGAGTCCGACATGCTCGCTCGCTCGACTACTCTCTTTTTCTTGGGGCTCACGACGCTCGCGGCCGCCGGGCCGACGACGGAAGCGGAGGCATCTGCTCTTCTCGGTTCGTGCTTGGTTTACCCCTCTCCCATTTCCATTTTCAAGTCTGAGCCCTAACTCAAACAAACCAGGTGAAGCCGAATGCCAGCCATATGGCTACCAGCCGGTCACGAACGCCATCCTTGCGAAGCAGTTCCCGCCAATATGGGTGCCCGTGCCAAGTTTACAGAATGACACGGATGCCTTAGCAAAGTTCCGTTCTATCGAAGCCAATATTCCCAAGATTGCGCCGAAAGTCTGTCTCTGTGTTACTTGGTTCACTTTTGCCGTGTTGACTCTGGAGTAGGGCGAGAATGGTGTTCCAAGCAACACCACAGTGTATGATCGCGCTGCTGACCCCGATTGTTGGTGGACGCAGGCTCAATGTGTCCAGCCCAAGGCTGCGGGTGTAAAACCTGACATCTTCAATGTCCCTGAGGTGCGTCGAATCATTGCATGTTCCGATGTCGCATTAATTCACCTCTGTAACAGCCACGGACACTGGGCTACGGTTTCGATGATGGCCCGTACTGTGGACATAACGCGTTCTACAACTATTTGTCCCAGAAAAACCAGAAAGCTAGTGTGTCAACTGCGTTCTTCCCCTCGCCGGTAAATCTCACAACCTGCTAGCAATGTTCTTCGTTGGCTCCAACGTTCTTAACAACCCTCTCCAAGCCCAGCGTGCCGTAGCCGATGGGCACGAAATATGCGTCCGTGAGTAGTAGTATCCTCCACCCATGTCCTCTTATTTACTTTCTGCAGACTCTTGGTCGCATGCATTCATGACCGCTTTCAACAACGAGCAGGCCTATGGCGAGCTCTACTTTACTATGAAGGCCATTAAACTCGTCACTGGCTATACCCCCAAATGCTGGCGGGTGAGTCGTTCTTTTTGTTGTCTTCTTCCTTTCTCTAACTGGCTCAGCCTCCCCGTGGGGATGTCGACGATCGCATTCGGTTCATTGCCCAGTCGCTCGGACTCGACAACGTTATGTGGAAGTACGACTCGTTTGACTGGGAGAAGGGTCTGAATGGTGTCACGGAGGACACTGTTCGGAGCAACTACGAGAAGCTCATCAGCGACGCAAGCACTGGCGTGCTGAATACTGTCCGTTACATTCCTGGTTTTCTCCTGCACCCAAGCTAATGTCGTCAACAGGCCGGCGCCATCATTCTTGCCCACGAGCTTAGCAACTACACAATGCAAGTTGCGGTGGATTACTATCCCAAACTCGCTGCAGCCTTTGATGTATGCTTCCACCCTTTGGGCCGTGTTTCTAATATCTGACTAAATGTCTAGCACATTGTCCCAATTGCCGTTGCCTTCAACAAGACGCAGCCATATGCGGAGACGGATCTGACCATGCCTGATTTCAAGCAATGTGTGTTGGACCTTTCTCCTTCCTCGTGTCTTCATTGACGTCTCCTCTAGACATTGCTCAACGCCCAGCATCCTCTTCGAACAGCTCTTCTTCCAACAATAGCAATGGCAAAGGCGATGGCAAGAACGATTCCTCAAACAGTACGAACGGCAAAACTAGCGTGTCAGGAGCTAGTGCAGCCATTGTCGTACGACCATTATCGACAGGGGGAATTCTCTTAGCGACTCTTGCAGTCGCTATCGCGATGCTCTAGTCAATATATGATGTCTTATTTTTTGTTGGTCGATGGGACATTTGATACTGATACTTACATCTTGCCTACGATTATGCGTTGGCTTATAGTGTAGACGATCTACATATACAGATACCAATGTGCGCGGTTGCGCAGCCAGCTTCTGTCGCGAAAATGAGGTGTCAGCCACGCTGTGACGATCCATGTGATGCAGTCACGGTGACGCGACCACCAATTCTCTTTCACTTTCGTCATGCGGCAAAAACTCGCTCTACTGGATCTTCCTATTGAGCTGCTGCAGGAATGCATACTCTATCTATCGCTTGTTGATCTAATTGCCTGTCGAAATACCGGGAATCGTGTCTTGCGAAAGCTCCTCGCTGGGTCAGTGGCAATCCAGTACAAGATGCACCAGGAACGCGCAGGCGTCAACGAAAACCCAAACTCGAGGGAGATCCGCGGGCTTACCACCTCAGAACGACTAGTCTCGCTGCTCGCTCGGGAGCGGAACTGGTTCGACATTACCCCGTTGAATGGTCGTGGTTACAGACTCAAAATGCCGGATCCTGAGGGAGCGTGGTTGTATAAACTTCTCCCAGATGGGATCCTCATCGTTGACGGGCAAGTCCCCAACTCGCTTCCCGGTCATTGCACCAGCGTCAAGTATACTCCGCTTGCATTGTCAGGTGGACTGGCCCGTTCACAGTCCGAGCCTACTCCCATTGCTGTAGAGACCAACTTGGAGCCCTGGACTACCCTATTCTCCGGCAAGCAAATCGTTGGATTAGCAACTTACCCAGGGGAGGAACTTGTCGCTGTGGCTACCTCGTAAGCTATTCGTCTCTATATCATGAACAGACGGTTGACCGATTCTAAACTGCAGCACACCGCCTTCCACGCACTCTTCCCTTTTTTCTCTGGATATTCACCTGATCGAAATGCCTATGGGGAGACCTCATTCAAATGCCACCGAATCCATCCTGAATCTTGCGTGTTCCTCCATTCATTACCTCGAATCCCTTGCCCAGATCGAGATTGTGGGCTCCACGCTAGCAGTTGCGTTAGAATTCGAAATCGTTCCTGGGCCACAGACCGATTTGCGACACTTGTCCCTCAAGCAAGAGCTACACATAATGAACTGGAAGTCGGGACGATCACTTATAGTATGTGTTTATTTTGTTTTACCTTGACTCTCATTGGAACATCATGCAGAAGCCATTTGACTGTGGTAGTATCGCTCCAGTTTTTCTCCGACCCGACGTCGTCATGATTCCCCATGCAGGTTTGAATCAGCTGCAGGTGTTTCGCCTTGACCTCGACTGCGACGAGCCCGCTAGCCTCGACCGATATAACACCAACTTCGTCTCCTTTGCCTTGCCATCCCTTGCCTCAGGTGTTTCGATTGTCAGGGACAGCTTCAAGTCGTACAGCGCACCGCCACCGCAACAAGAGCCGAGGCCGGTCTCTGGTGTCCAGGAGCCATTCTCGTCCAGAGCTGATACATGCCTGGTCAATTGCCACTACCAGACTTTCCAGACGCGGACGGACTTCTATGACGACGACGAGGACAACGTTCATTGGCATGAATTTACCGAAGTTACAGACCACTGTTTTGTCGTCCGGAGAGCATCACTGCTCGACATATTCAGCTCTAGCGTTGTTCGTGCAAGAGATCTCGTGGTTGCGTGGGAGCGCTGGGGTCCCGGCTGTTTGCGTTTTCTAGACTTCGCAGCGGGCCAAGGTGCTGGACAGAGACTAATCGGTCTTGCTCCTCGAGCACGAGGTGATTACTCTCACGGCCGGTACCTGCAAATACTCGATTTTAATCCGTGGAATCACAAGAAGCCAGTGCCCGACTCTGACTCAGACTCAAAATCTTCAAACCGCTCGAGGCTTGTAGGCGAGAAAGGAGCATGCCTCGCGTCATTCTCTGCGTTCACGAGCCCCCCGATGTCATCGACTTTGCCATACACCGAAGTCACATCTGCGCAGGCCTACGACTTCGACGAGGTGAGGTTGTCGGATTCGTGTATCCTGGGTCTTCGGGTGAGTCTTCTCAACCAACGCCGTGCCGCTTACAATTCCTGACATGACCCTCACGTAGAAGCACGGCGAGCTCGGTGGTATCAGGGAAATCCATATCTTACATTTGGGTTGAGAGGTGACTTTATTCAATCTTGGCCTCCATGAACTTGAAGTCCGATTCTCAACTTTTAGACACAGACTTCGATTTGCGCAAGTAGTAATTGTACTTATTGTTGTACTAGTAGTAGTAGTACTTAGCATTCCTATGTGATACTTGAATCGTTTCAATGTCAATGGCAACAGTAGATAACTCTCTCCTCGGTGGGGGTGTGGAGGATGGTACTTGTACGATAAAGGATGCAGGAAGTGAGTTGCGCTCAAAATTTAAATATCTCAGGTGGAATTCCTGCTTACATCATCAGCACTTCTTTCGCGCCGTCCCCCATCTCCAGCCACACACACGCCATCCTTTCGCAAGGTCTGCTAGGACTATGGACGCCCGACTGCGGAGAGTAAACAAGGAGATCGCCGGTGCGTGTGGCTTCATCGATCCCCGCCGCTCCTTGCAGCGACAGTGGCCACTCAAGTCTGTTGACTGACTGGTGTGGGTGCAGACTGCAAGAACGACAAGACGTCAAATATCACCATCGACCTCATCGACGACTCGCCTTTCCATCTCCGCGGGTCGTTCCCGGGCCCAGAGGACACGCCCTACCAAGGGGGCCTCTTTCAAGTCGTGTGTAGCCTTGCCACTCTATAGCGACCAGCTTGCTAACTCTTGCGCTTCCTTCGTTGCTTTAGGATATTGTCATCCCTGACTCGTACCCATTCCAGCCAGTAAAGATGAAGTTCATCACGAAAGTCTACCATCCTAATGTGTCGTCCGCATCGGGGGCAATCTGCCTCGACATCCTCAAAGACGCGTGGTCGCCCGTGCTTACCCTCAAATCGACACTCATCTCGCTGCAAAGTTTGCTCTGCTCACCCGAGCCGAGCGACCCCCAGGATGCAGAAGTCGCAAAGCACTACACTACAAGTCGGCGGAGCTTTGAGGAAACCGCACGGTATTGGACCAAGTCGTATGCTATGCCAAACGGAGGGGCACCGGAAGGAGCAGGAGCCTCGAAGGCGGGGGCTGCTCCCAGGGACGAGGTGGCGATTGCGGGGCTTGAGAAAGCACATGTCGACCAATTTGAGGCTCTGGGTTTCCCTCGCGCCAAAGTGGTGCGTGTTTTTCTACCTTTGCCAGTGTTTCCCTTTTTTGACTCTCTCTCTCTCTCAGATCGACGTTCTCCGCAGACTGAACTACCGCGGAGCCAATGTCGCAAAGATACAGGACGACCGTATTGTGGAGGAGTTGTTAAAATAGTCGCTTGGAGATATCCACGTCTGTTGAACTTTGTGTTTGTACGATTCCAAATGTTGTTCATTGGTCGATGTACTTTTATTGAGATCCTGAGTTTACAATTACGAGTGGGATTCTTGTGTGTGTGAAATAATCTACTGTAGTACTTTGATTTGGTACAATAACTAGTACAAGTCCGTATTAAAACAAAAAGCAAATTTATGCATTGTTTCCAGCACTTATATCGAGGACTTCGTCAGAGTCCGAGCACTGTCGCAGTTTGCCATACACCTGCCAGTGCCTTCCTTGAGTGGATGCGTCCCCGAAGCTCCCGCTCCTGCTGTACCCATGATGCGAAAAAACTTTGTTGATCTCGTATTCACGCGCCGCGTCTTCTGCGGCGACGGTGCGGGTGTGTGTGATGAGGCGACAGACGAGTATGCTGTGCATCACTTGGACCGGACTGTGTATGATAGAATTGGGTTGAAAACGGAAGATCGACGAAGACGGGAAAAAGGACTGACGTGTCGAAGACTTCACGGAGTCCGCTCTAAAAGAACATCAGTATGCCAGACTGAGGGTCGGGGAGGACGAACGCACAGGTGCGACGTAGAGACAAATGAGGGACGCCACTGTAAAGGCTATATTGGAGCGGATTTTTCGTCAGAAGACAGCATTTTTGGCGAATAATGAAGGCCCTACGGAGTATGGCGGGATAAAACCAGACACCTGGCCCAAGTTCAATACGGTCTAATCAGGTTGTGTGATTAATGAAGCATACCGTCGCGATGCAAGCTCTGCAACATCCCTGTTTTGTCGGGAACTGCGTGAACGGGATTCAATCAACTGGTTTAAATTGGCCCGAAACGAATTTACGCCTACATTTGTGGCAAACTTTCCAGAGGGTCAAGAGGAATATTGCTATGCCAAAAGAGGTCAGCTGTCATGGAGCTATTTGGACAGAAACGCACTCGTTTCGGATGCCAATAACGCCCACGAAGCAAATTTTGCGAAATAGGTTGTCCTTGGCGTTGAGACATAGCATGTTACTGCTAGATCTGGACCCAATGCTTCGATATCATTGAAAGAATGGACCCATCTTAGGCCGGTCCACAATGCAAGGGCGGCAATGGTCTTCAAGTTGTTTCATCAGTCAGCTGCTTGCCAAAAGTGCGGTCAAAGGAACTTGGACGTACAAACCACATCAACCCGAAGAACAGCAGTAGGGACTTGGAGCGCTGGTACAGCGTATAGGTGCGAATCATGAGGATGACTTGATATGATGTTTGATTCGAGCGTACGACTATGGAAGAACTCACGTTGTGTTATCCCGATGCCAAAGAGTGAAAATGCTATACGGCTGTTCAGCACCAAACGCCAACGTCTTGAGTGTTCTGGGCACTCGCCGGTGGTGAACATCGTCACCTCATCGCACACCTGAAACACCCGTCAACGCTGATTTTAACTGAGATAGCTAACGCACAAAGAACCCTTTCAGCAACGCGTGTATCAGCGGTGCTGTGGCACCAACGAAGGTCCCGTAGCGTGTCCACAGATAGAGGGCTTTGATGATCGTCCATCGCGACCGCCAGATGTGGAGATACTCTTCATTCAGCTGGAGGACAGTGTCGTATATCTGCAACACAAATAAAAATAAATCTTGGGCGGCAGATTCGGGTTAGGCGCCGACTTGCCAACAGAGCCAAAAACGCGACTAGCCCGGAACAGTCAGTACGCAGCCAACTCCCAGAAAACGCGGTGTGTTCTATTGTTTGGCAACTAACCTTTGATATACTGCGAAGGTAGCCCATGTCAGCCCTTGATTGTCCACATGCCATGAAAGAACGGCGACGGACGAAAACAACTTGTATGTCTGCCCGCAGTGTCTCGCTGTCCATCGAACGAAGGAGTGGGTTGGTCTGCCAGTGGTGGCGCCGAAGAGGGCGAAATCAGCAGCTGCGAGAGAGATGGCATATAAGTATCGAAAGAAGCACATCTCCGTCTGTAGGATCAACTCAGGCTGTCATGGTACGGCGGTGTTGACGCGGAAGATGACCATAGACTATTTTGAATGCATGGAATCATCACAGAACCTAGATGGATGTGGGTAGCTGCGTCCAGGAGGCGTAGTAGTGCACTCACAGGCATGTGCTTTGGAGCATTCTTCACTGGTATCTATATCTTCCCACTGGAGGACCCTCCGAGGACCCGCTGGGAGCGTGGCAGGCAGGTGAAAGTCTTGGTCTGCGGGCGGGACCAGTCCAATCAAGCACGTCAATCTTTGTGATACAGGTTGCGCAGGGGGCAGATTGGGCGGATCTAGCCATGGCCAAAACGCTGAAGGCGGCGATGGCCAGTGTTGCAGTCATCTAATTTTCGTAGTGTCCGGCATTGTAGAACGTTCGGGTCGGCAACCGTAGCTGTAGAGACAGCATGCAACTACTCCGAGTCGGAGCTGCGACGGAGCAGAATAGCGAAGTGCCAATGAGCGGCAACCTAAATGGACGTGTTTCAGCGTGGTTCGATGATATTGTATCAGAGCGGCCAGCCCTCGGTTTGGCGGGCAGCATGAGCCTGCATATGACAGTATCAGGTATTCCTGGAGCGGTGCCATGACCACCTCCCATACTGTATTGACATCTACCCGACTAGTCAGTACCAAGGATAACAAATTGTGTGGAGGTAGCAGAAAGGCAGCGGAAATAGGTGGCTATGCACCTGACATGGCAAACCGGGAACTGTCCAGCTAAAAATCTCCAGTCTACTTCCGTAGACTTCCCAGGACGGACAGGTGGCACTTAAGGACATGTCGGGCCCCAGCGGGGAAGAAAAGACTGTGCAGAAGTGCGTGGGCGTCTTTCCTCAACGCTGCCCTTGGAAATGCGCGTTAACGAGGAAAATGAGAGAAAGTGTGATGTAACGCCTCGGTCACTGTTGATTACCGATCACGAGGTCAGCGGATCCGATAAGATTAGATTACAACATCACGACGAAATTATTAAGTGGAGCAGTTACTCGGTAAGTAGTCTGAGGACACCGTCCGGGTCGGCATCATCTCTCACTAATCCTTTGAACTCGGATTTGCCCATCAGAAAATCGACCCGTTTCACGCCGTCGTTTCTTGCGTCGGTCTCCCTCTCCTTCCAGTCAGCCGCCGGCACACCGTCCGTGCTCGCGACCGCTTCTTTTCGGCACCGACGCGTAAATGCCTGACCCACAGAAGCCTCTTCTTCCGCAGAAAGCGCGGCCCAATCGTCGGGCGTGATCCGAGTGTGCAGAGAGCGATGGATCGCGACAAGAACATCACCAATGGCTATTGGAGGAAACGTGCCTGGCGACGCAAGCGCAGACTCCGGGGCCTTGAGGTCGATAGGATAGAACGCGAGACGCGGGCTCGGATGCATTATCCGCAGCGACATCCGTGGCGGATAGAAAGCTACTTCTCGCAGCTCTTCGGCCGAGAGTCCGACCTTCTCTCCAGCGCGTAGGGGCATAATTCGGGTAGGTTCGAAGCGGGACGACGCGAGGTCAAGGGAGAATAAAGGGGTTGGTGTGTTTCCGTCGAGACAGGGATGTATTTGGGGAGGGGGGACAACGACATCGCTATCGGTTGCCCATGGATCAATTCCAGGAAGAGGTATAAATGGGGTTGGGTACCCAACCTGGGGTTCCGATGCATCAATGGCTGTCACCACAGACATGGAATGATGAATGAAGGTCTCTAGCTCTGACCTGGCTCTCATGCATCAATGTGTCTCTGCCTCCATCGGTGAGTCCAATCACATCAGCATGTCATCATAGCGTGACGTACTGGTTACCGCTTCACTGACGACGTCCATCACAGCAATCAATGCTTCTTGTCGTCGTCCTCGACAGCGAGCAGAGGCATTCCCAAATAATTCCCGAAAATTCTGAAAATATTAGGGTGCGTCGGTCCAATGGCGCTGATGAACGAATGCTACTTATGCTCATAGCATGCGCTCAAAACCGAGACTTCTCTCGCATTTTCGACCTGCACACCATAATCAAAGCCACCCACAGGCAACCATCCAGCGGGCGAATTGCTGCTGAATTGAACATACACAACGTCCTACATCATATGGCTGAAACCCCCGAGTTTCAGAGGAATCGGGCGGCTGGATTCCGGCCGGCATATGCAGCAGTCCCCCAGGTCTACTCTGAAAATGGCGCCTGGCTGCCCTCGGGGCGCCCGGCCCTCTCCGCGACACGTCTATGACTCCTGGGCCATCGTCTAGGCTCTTGAATGCAGCTGGCGCCGGCGCTTCAGGGTGCCGGGTGCATCCTGTGAATCCTGCGTGCCGGGTTCATTCCTTTGGTACTCGCAGCGAGGGGACCTGTTGCAGTGGGGCAGCCGCTTGTATCGACGATGGAGGGCCGAAGAAAGCCCTGTAATGACGCAGAAGGTGCGTCATTGCATGAATTCAACTGAATTCACTCAGCAGGAGCAGACTGGCGGCACTGGCCACTGCGGGACGATGAGACAGTCGTTCCGCTTGAAATCTTCAGGAACTCGGGGGGCATGGCGTCGCTGCCGGGGGATGAGATCCCAGCCCGAAAGCGCGGAAGGCGGGCCGGAACGCCGCTCGTCTCGCAAATCAGCGGGAGGGTTGCGCAGAGCTAACCGCTGGCTCGTTCCGCCTGAGAATCTCGGGGATGGGAGGGACACATGTTCCTTCCCATCCCTGAAAATTGCAGGCGAAACGGGCCAGGACTCGGCCCGGTGGCCACGGGCCTCGCCGACACCTGCCCTAGCAGCTTCCGTTGCGCGCAGGGGCAACCCCTCCCTCGTTTTCCTCAGGAGTTGGTGGAACTCGAGCGGTGCGTCAACGCTACCTGCGCTGGAATTTCCAGCCAGAAAGATGCAGAAATGGGCCCGGCGCTCACCGATTTCGTAGAGAACACCGTCAACGGCGACGACGGCCTTGCGGCCTGCTGCAGAGCACTGGGAGGCGCCGAGTAAGTCGGGTTACGTCCCCAGAGGTTTTGCGGACGTGTTCGGGGCACGATTCGTGGTAGTCGGGAATAAGAACATAAAGTTCTACGATAGTAGTGGGAATTTAGTAGTGCTACACACCAGTACTTCTGCAATATACAAGTTTTGATAAAACTGTATGATTTTCCTTCAGAAACTTGTACATAGGCGGGGGCTGACTACGAGACACAGATAGTATAAATTTACTCACACATTTGGGTCAATAGAAGTCATTATTGTCGGTTTGTCGTGCCCCGATATTCCGTCTCACGCTCAATAGACGTCATATGGATGCTGATCAACCCCAAGCGCGGGGAATAACCGATGGCGTTGATAAGCGGCTACTCAAAATGACATCTGTTCCGCCCCGTGTCCCGCGTCCTGCACCCTGCGAGCCCACCCCATGCACTACAGGCATTGTGGCCCAGCCCTGAGCTACCAATAGCACGCGCCGTTGAACAGCGGGATGAGCATCGCATAGGTCACCACACGCATGGCGAATTGATGGGTAGGCGGGCAGTAGGCAGTAGGCAGTAGGCAGTGGGCAGTGGGCGGCGGCCAGCGGCCAGCGGCCAGCGGGCGGCGGGCGGCGGGCGAGGGAGCCCGGTCCGATATGTCATGCATATGTGGTCAGCAGGACCGCCGGCATGAGCACGTGCGCAGCCCACGTTATGTACATTACCCACGCCCAGCGCAGGGGCGGGAAGCGGGGCGGGCAGGTGGCAAGGCGGCGGCGGGCGGCTGCAAGCAGACAGCGTGGGGGGGGCTCGCTTGCTTTAGAGACTTGTCATGATGCATCTCAGCCGGTCTCTAGGAGAGACCTTGATTCATCATGGCATGTCTCTCTTGACAACCATTTGATGCATAGGATCCCCAGGTACGCCTGGGGTTGGAGGAGCGCTAGTGGTACCAGCACCAAAGGAGTTTGCGCGACGATGTCCCGCGCCGAACATAAATGGCATCGGAGAAAGAAAAGGCGATCCAGTGCTAGGCGGGTGTCCATGCCAGGAAGTCGTCCGTTGTCTTTGCGGGACAAAGAATGGCGAAAATCGGGGGTCAAAACCCGAAGGGCTCCCGTGCCACGGTACACTATTTGCACCAGAGATCTGTGGAGTCCCAGGCAGGGATGTTGGGGCGATGAATGGCGATGAGGGATGCAGGAAGGGGGAGGGTGGAAGGAATGGAGAGGCCGGATGCGGAGGAGGGCAGAAAAATGGATTGTATGGTGTGGGGTCTGATTGAGCTGCGTCCTCTGGAACGAATATAAATGGTTGTGCCATGACGGAATAAGTTCAAGTTGATAGCGCGGACTTGCACCAAAGAGTCTTGGAAAATATGAATCACGAAATAGTAGACCGAGTGCTAATGAAAAAGGTGAGGAAAAATCGAGGGACAACTTGTCACGCACAACGAATGAGACGATGTAGAATCTCTATCGCAAGGGATGTGTGACGAAGAATTATCCACGTTTTCGCGCACGGTCGATAGAGCAAGATGGAAAGAAGGCGGTTACACGTGGTGTGATGCCTCTCTGGTGCAAAATCGTGATCGCTGATTCCATAAGCAGAATGGCCTGACGCATTCAAGATGGGGGTATTCTGACCAGACAGTAATCGCGATGAGAAGCTTTGTCAAACTAGATCCTTTGGGAAATATTAAGAGTCCAAAACAATCACATTACTCAGATATTGCGCTCTCCTGCTAGTCCTTTGCATCGACTTCTCGTTTCCTTCGGGTACTACCATCGTATACGGTGAGCCAATTCGTTTCGTCCTCTTCGACTTCCGCATTGATGTTGATATGAAATGACTGTCCCGGACGCGGAGTTGATTCATCACATCCATCAGTGAACCAACACGTCGAGCCCTCATCCGAGTCTTGGCTCCACTGCCACTGAGGGAGACGCTCGAGCTCCCCATCTCCGTTCTCGTCACAGGTGTCCTCTTGTGATCTGACAGCAAAGTCGTGGAACCGCCCCCAATTGATCCACCATTCGTCCGCGTCGTCACCTGCGTCGTAAGAAAATCTGCAACCGTGATAAGAGAAGAACACTGGGTAGAGAGAGTTGGAGACCCACAGCATGCGTGTTTCCTCCATCGTCTGCCCTTCGTGACTCTCTGGTATCTCCATAACGTTCTTCCCTTGTTGGTAATTTGTGCGGAACATCGCGTCGCGGGTAATGTAAGTGTCCTCGTCATCCTGGGTGAGCGATGTGACATATTTCATATCGATATCACAAAGGAGGTTGCACCGAGGTTCACTGAAAAAAAAGCGTTAGTCTCTTCACGACCCTGATATTATGTAATAAACTGACCGATGTTCCTGAAAAGCGTACAACAGCTCTGGTATCCTGGAACGGTCATGCGTATGCGAAAATATCTTGCCAATAAACACGCTGTCTTCTAGCGCGCAGGCATACGAGTTAACAGCTCCGGCCTAGCATTGCCTCAGACCGTCGCGATTGACTTGGGAAATATTGGACATACGGGGAATGGATGAGCAGCTTCACCGAGAACGACAACGCGTCCGCTCTCGGAGACCCAAGATTGAAGAGGTTCGTGTTCTTGGAGTGGCCTTCCAGATGAATGTAGGGACTTGTTTGAAGAGTCCGCAACCAAAGCTAGGGAGCGAATCCTAACGAAGATATCAGAGGCGTAATAAACACATTTAAGAGTAATTACCCCGAGTCACAGACAGGCCCAAGAATGTCGGTTATCTTGCTAGTTGGACCATCCTCGGGACTGTAGATACAGCACGAAAGGTTGTCACCCTGTAGGGTCATGAAATCAAACGACATGCAACAGCGGAAAGGCATTCGGAAAGCATACCACACTATAGACGAACGCTGCTCTATTTGCCCCAAAGAATGCGGACTGGAATCGCAAACATGAGTTTCGCCCCAAAAGAGAAGGAGCATGACGGACATGATTATAGGATAATAAACCGGCAAGGGCTGGGTGGTCTCGCATCGCAGATTTGGGAACTGTAGCGCTGTCCAACGGTGTCATTAAGAACAAGCCAAATGAATTTAGACCACGCACCTGTAGACAAGTAGGGATACATTTTCCTTGTCGGCCTGAGAGTCTTCGGACTCGGAGTCGGAGTCAAGCCAAAAGTCGCCATCATCGGTTGCTCTCGCCTTCCTCTCTTCATCTTCCTCCCGCTTGAGCGCAGCCCTGACTACACCGTTCGGCCCATCTGCACCAATGATCGCGTCTGCCGTCAATTGTTCTCCATTCTGTAGAGTGACACTACAGGCCTCTAAATCGATGGACGTGACTTCTGCATTGAAGCGGACTTGAATTCGGCTCTTGTCGAGAGAGGCTACAGATGAGGGAGGGTCCATTGGCCGAAGGAATTCATTATAGAGAATATGGATGAGGTCAACGTGCTGTAAAAGATATGGGTTGGAGAAGACGATGAACTAATCACGTACTCGCAAAGTCAGGTATTGCCCTTGTGCCTCAGAAAGCATCTCTTCATCGTAGCTCTGAAGTCCTATAATTGGTCATTCCTGCTTTTCCGGTTGAGAGAGCGAAACTCACCCATCAAGTCTTGTCCTTCCCCCCTACCCTCATCTATTCCAAGTTAGACCCATTACCAAAACTTGACAACCATACATCGAAAGACCGCGAATCCTGGGGAAGTCGTCTGGTATTGTAATGCACTGATGTGTTTGTCGAGGCCCCAATGAGAAAGTATCTTGGAGCCGTTCGGTGGTATCCTTCAAGTGGGACAAAGTCAGTCCGACACGAGTGGGGCACGACAAGGGGCGGATTACCGAGCGCATCCATATGGTATCTGGAAGACGACCCTTCAGCACCTAGAAACGAAATTTAAAGCCGACGCACCGTGGGACGACCCTCTCCAAGCCCAGCCGCCTTCTCCACTACTAAAACGCGATGGCCCGACTTCTTCAATGCAATACCGGAGGCAAGACCTGGCCAAAATGGAAATGTTGCGGTTAGTCCAAGGGCCACAGGCGGGTATCCGGCTTTGACCTGCTACTGAGGCCCCGACGATGATCTAGCTGCAGGATAAACTCGAGTGCGAAAAGCATGAACGATACTGACGAAATCGAGCTGTTCTGCCATGGGGACTGGACCTATGGCTCGTATGGAAGAGGAATTGAAGAGGAACGCCTCCTCGTCGTTGTGATGGGATGGAAGGCTTGCTTGCACCGTTCAGCGGCAGGAGGGAATTAATTTGCAATTTGCTTTGAAGCGTTTCGCCAATCCGGGTAAGTCAAACCCAAACTGCTTGTGAATGGGCCGAGCAGCCAGTAGACCCGTTGTATAATATATATAGTGGTGAAGTTGTGGAGAAGCAGCTTTTGACGCTACGACCCATGGCGTTTCGCGAGATGGCGGAAGTGCTCAACGATGTTCTTTGCCTAGTCACCGCTTATGTCAGGATTCTCGGTCCGATGGCTCGGACATCCCTGGATCACCCAAGGATCAACACAAGGATCAACATGAGCCTCCCTGAGCTACTCAACTTGTACTAGTACTAGTCCTACTTGAGTACTACTGCCAACACGAGCCAGATTGAAGACAGCTACGAAACTCCGAGCTCGCCGTATGGCTAATACTTGAAGCTTTCTAGTAGCATCTAGTAGCATGTGGTTGCTCATTGATGACATGTTCCGTCCGCCGGGGCAAGTGGCAAGTGCCGACCCGCCTAAGAGTATGTACATGGATATGAATTCGCGTCATATAACTCGTTTATTAGATACACAGGTAAGCCGAACTTGAAGCCGTAAATTGCGAGCCAAGGTCAATCTTACTTATACTATAACCAAGACCCAGGTAGAAAACATTTGGACACAGCAGACCCGACAACGTTGCTATCAAGAGTGTACTTCAGGATCTTCTGCTTGTGCTGTCCATTCCCTTCGAGCGCTGCCATCGTATAGCCAATGCGTGTCATCCCGGGCCTCTCCAAGTTGGCCTGGGCGAGGGGTAAGGTCACCAAAATGCGAATCGGACGAGCTTGCATTCGAGTCTCGACTGGATTTGTGTCGCATACGAAGCCGTTCAGGGGCCGCTTTTTCATACACTTCCTCCCGCTGGCTGACAGTCAAGTCGCGGAACCGGCCCCAGGTGATCCACCACTCATCTGCATCGTCCGCCGCGTCATACGCAAATCTGTGCAAATCAGCAATAAATTCAGATTGAAGGAGAGACAGAGACCCACATCGCCCGCGTTTCCTCCATCCTTTGGCCCTCCATACTCTCGGGCATCTCCAAGACGTTTTTCCCCTGCTGATAGTTGGCTCGGAACATTGCGTCGCGGAGCACGGACATCTCGCCCTCAAGCGTTAGTGCTGCCACATATTGGATCTCGATGTCGTGAAGAAGGGTGCATCGGGGCTTGCTGCCAAAGAACTTGTAAATTTGGGTGCAATACTACTGAGTAGACAAACCGATGCTCTTGAAAGGCATATAGCAGCTCTGGGATTCTCGATCGATCTTGTGTGTGCGAGAATATTTTGCCGATAAACGATCCGTCTTCGAGCGCACATGCGTATGAGTAAACAGCGCCTGCCTGTGGTTGTATTTGGTTTGTTCGTCAGCCTTGGTCGGTTCGGGATTATCGTTGAAACAACAAACAGGAAACGGATGTGCAGCTTCGCCAATGACCACAACGCGTCCGCTCTCGGAAACCCAAGACTGGAGAGGCTCGTGTTCCTGAAGTGGCCTACAAAGCGGAGGTTGCACTTTGTCGTCATCAACAGTGTCTGCGATTGAGACGATACAGCGAATACTGTGGTCGAGTTAAGCTTTAACACGATACGCAAGAGACACTTGCGCTGAATCACAAGCAGAGCCAAGCATGTCGGATATTTTCAAGCCGCTCGGTTGACCATCCAGAAAGAGTCTGGACATATAGATACAGACAGACAGGTCTTCACCCTTAAAAACGAAATCAGGAATCCTTCAGGAAGAGGTGATTGAAAAAACGGACGACGCTATACACAAACGCTCCTCGATTGGACCCAAAGAAGGCACACTGAAATAGGGAACGTCAGAAGATTTAGACACGAAAGAGGAAGGGCATGACAGACATGACTGTAAGATGAGAAGTCGGCGAGGGCTGGATGACCTTGCATCGTGGATTTGGGAATTGTAGCGCTACATACCGCGGATTCTAGTTCGCACAAGGCCGGAAATGTTTTATACGCACCTGTAGACAACCAGGGGTACACCTTCCGTGTCGCCAAGCACATGAGACCCTTCCGACTCGGAATCGGAATCAGCCCAAAAGTCACCATCGTCTGATGTCAGCCTATCGCTTGTCCTCGATATTTCCTCTCTGTCCCCCTCTTGCTCGAGTGCAGCTCTGACCATGCCACTTGGCCCGTCTGCGCCGATAATAACATCCGCCACCAGAGGTTCTCCGCTTCGGAGAGTAACCACGCAGGACTCTAGGTCGATAGAAGCTGCCTCTGCTCCAAAGCGGACCTCTACCATGTTTTTGTCCAGAGACGAGGATTTCGTCGGTCGATAGAACTCGTCATAGAGTAAATTGATGAGGTCGACATGCTGAAGATAGTACTTGATATGAGTAGAGCGATTGCGGAAGAAAATTGACCCACTCGAAAAGTCAGGTATTGTCCTCGCGCCTCAGAAAGCATCTCTTCGTCATACCTCTGGACCCCTAAAATTCATCTAGATTATTCCCCAAAATGCATCAGCACGTACCCATAAGGTCTTGTTGCTCCCCGTTGCCCTCGTCTACCGCATGTCAGACGTCCATAAATAATCAGGAGGGAGAAACAGACAACGGAAGACCGCGAATCCTGAGGAACTTGTTTGGTACTGCAACTCCTCGATCCGCTCTTCGAGGCCCCAGTCGTACAGTATCTTGGAGCCATTTGGCGTTATCCTTGAGAAAAACCGTCGTCAGCACAGTCGCAGAAGGACCCGGGTCAAATTACCGGGCACAACCCACGGGGATCTTGCAAACGTCAGCATCTCGAAACAAGAGGTGAAAATCAAGTCAGACGTACCGTAGAGCGGCCATCTCCAAGCCCAGCTGCTTTTTCAAGTATTAAGACGCTATGACCAGACCTCTTCAACGCGATACCGGCTGCAAGGCCTGCCAACAGAGGACGTGTATCGGTTAGCTTAGCTGCATTGACAGCAAGTTGAAAGAGAGGTCCGACCTGCTACTGAGGCCCCCACGATGATCTGGGGGATAAACGTTGACAGGCATTCGAAGCCTCAAATAAAGAAACACGCACGAAACTCAGCCGTTGCTCATTCATACTGCTATTGTCGGATGATAGACACAGGCGAAAACGAGCGCAAAGACTTGGTCGTGTTCAGGCTCTTGTGGGGCCGTATTCGTGGTCGTGGGGACGAGAGCTGCTGGTAGCGCTGGCATCAAAGGGGCAGTGGGAATCTGGCTAAGACTAGCTTCGCGAGCACGATGCCACCACGGGCATCTTTCGGGGCGGGCCGTGGTGCCGCAGTACAAAGAGAAGAATAGCGCGTTGAGAGTGGCAGTTGTCCCATGTGGACGGCGGACGCTGCAATTCATGGAGGTGGGAGGCTTTTCACGGCTTACGTCAGAATCGGCCCGTTGATGCGTAAGCATCACGACACCGACGCTTTCGTCACCACCACCACCCTAGGCCTGGGTCTGACTCGACGAGGCTCTCTCCAACAGAATGGCCGCTCAATCATCCACTGAATGTGGTTGGATTATGACGCGGACTGAGCGCTGGTGCATTCGGAACGCCGAGCTCGCCGTGGAACGTCGGGATGAGACGGTGGGCGGTCGCGCGGCATTTTCGTTTTATGACAAGCTGATAAGTATAACTTGAAATTGTAGTAGGTCATCAAACAGGCTCCCTTTTAGACAATCATCGCACATATTCAACTGATTGATCCCTGGCCAGTGTTCACAGCCCGCATATCAAGATTTTACAGACGTTCTCTGAGCTTTCTGGTTGGCCAACGGCGCTCGAGTAGGCGTATTTAAAGCATGTCGACTCGTTGAGATATGCACCGCTGGCAGGCCCTTCATGCATTCACAAATAACCCCAACGAGCGGCGCTCCTTTCGCAATCATCGCGTTTTCCACATTCATCCTCGTCCTCATCCCGTTGCTGCTCCAAATCCGCTCGCGGAATGTGCCCCCTGCTCTGCATAATGTCCTGGTTTGCCGTCTCCGACTTGATTTACTTCGCCGACGCCCTGCTGTGGAGCGGAAACGTTGACATCAAGGCGCTAATATGGTGTGATATCAGTATGCTTTTTCTGTTATCTGTGACTCAGGTTTACTGACTGGTTACATTTGCAGCCACCAAGCTAAAGATTGGCGGCGAAATTGCACTCCCTGCTGCAGCAGTTCCGCTGTCGGTCAAAGTCTACCGAATCACGCTTCAGAAACGACCAATGGGACTGTTATTTGACCTAGGTGTTTGTGTTGCACTGCCGGCGGTTATTATGGCTCTGCGTTCGTCATCTATCTTTCATATCTGAATCCGCGGCTTAACTCCGCTCGTCCACAGATACCATCGTCCAAGGGAACCGTTTTGATATCATCGAGGTCATCGGCTGCAGCCCAAACATCTACGTTTCTATTCCCTCCATCATCATCTTGGACATTCCGCCCCTTGTTTGTTCAATCCTCACTCTGATCTTTTGCGGCATCTCACTGGTCAACTTCACCCGACAAAGAAGAGCATTCCATCTCCTGACGCGTGGGCCAAAGAGCGACGGCCGCAATCGGGCACAATACATCCGTCTCATGGCTCTAACTACCGTTCTCGGTGTCTGGAGCACGATTGTCGTCGCCTTGACGCGCTCGTCAGAGTACCACAGTGGCCTCCTGCCCTGGATTTCGTGGGCGGAGGTCCACGCCGACTTCTGGAGCTTCGAGCGCGCACAATACATGCTTTCGCTTATCCCCCAGGCAACGCTCGGGCCGCTCATGTTCAGCTGGGCCAGTATCCCGATAAGCAGCCTCATCACATTTGCGTTTTTCGGTGTCGGCAGCGAGGCGGTGACGAAATACCGCGCGCTGTTTATAGCCATCAAGATGCGCGCAGGGATGGGCGATGGCGGCGATCCCGTTACAGGCCGACAGCTGCAGCGTGAGGCGGTGTCGAGTCAGCGCAAATCAGCAGAGGTTTGCTGATCCTCCGGAGGCCGGAAAGGCGCCCACGATGATTCATACCCAGTGGTATTTAAAGATCATCTTTGAACCCCATACCTTCAGGCCGATATTTGTTTCTCTTTCTCTTTCTTCTTCCTATCCTTATTCTTCCCATGTTCATCCTTTCCATTCGTTTCATCGCACTCGCGATCATGCTAGCCATGTCGTCCTCCGCGGTCACCGCAGTCCCGCTATCAGCCACTCCCGAATTGGATATTGACACCGAGGTACGGCCATACACAAGTATTTTAACCACCCCGGTTGACGAATAGCAGACCGCACTGCCAATACAGCCATCCAACGCCACTTCTATTATCGTTGCAGAAGCACCGGCCAGTATGAACACCACAGATGTGTTCCAAACACTGTCGGTTAGTTTGTCGCATGTTCTTTTCGTTGACTGATCGTGTTGTTTTTTCGTGCAGCCGCCGTCATTTAACTCTTCGGACGAGCCTCCGCCGGCGGGAGGCGCAGCGGCCGATCTGCGCGGCGGGTCTGACGGAAATGACCCCGGCCTGCCGCCGTGTGTCATCGCATGAACCAGGCGTAAACAAGCGTGTATATACTTGCAATCAATGGGCTGGTTGAGCGAGAGCGGCCACTGATGCCAGCCGCATCGATATTTTGGATGCCGAGCGACGCCTGAGCGCCTTCGCCAAGCAGAGAACTATATTTATTGGCCTCTGAGGACACTGACCGCTAGCTGCGCTCCTCTTGCTCTTCTTCTCAACTATTCTCTCCTTGTTTTCCGAGTTCCTTCCGACAATCGCCAACCTCACCATGCCTGGGCCGCGCATCATTTCCATTCGCGTGGTTGCGCTTGCAATACTGATGCCCGCTGCCCAGTGAAACGCGAGAGATCGGAAGGGGGAGGGAAAGGAAATGGGACAGATGAGGGATGGGAAGGAGGACCTAGACACTCTCACTCACTCTAACAACTCAACAAACAACCCAAAACCCAAATGTATTAGTCCCAGTCCAATACACGTTGATCCAATGACTGTGCGCGCGTGTTCGGGGGTTCCTACGAAAGTATATCGTAGTGGCAACCCAGGTATAGATGACAGTGAAGGGGTGAAGTGGGTAGAGTCGAGGAATAAACAGTCCGCGCAGCGGCAAGGGGTGTGGGAACAGATGAAGGAGACAATACAATACCTCGGACCGACGGCGTTATCGGTGACAGCGGGGATCAGACGTTTGACAGATTCGTAAGCGGCGCGTTCGTTCGGCAAGTCTCGTATTTCTCACGCAAGCCCCGGCCCTTTGGACGCAGGCTTCGCAAGAGAGCAATACTAACGGTGAGGTATTCGCTCTCCTACTGGTACAAACGGGCTAAATATATAGGTTTTGGGCGGGCTTGGCGCCAAGCCCGTCGTTATACGACTATTTCTATCCCTAACACCCGTCGCTCTCACTCCCAAGCCGTCTCCTAGCGCCGGCCTGCCGCCTTCTCTTGGCACGCTTGGCGTGCTTGGCACCTCTTGGCACCCCGACCTGCTCTCAACCACCACCTCTCTCGCGCCCCGTTCTTGCTGCTGCCCCCATACGCGACGCACGCGCTTCATGTCCCCATTTGAAAAATCCTGAGTGTCCTCACTCAGTCTAGTCAGTAGCTAGAATGTTTTTAGTTTTTATGGTTGTTTTAGAGACCCAATACCATGGATACTTGCTCTATTTTTGTCCTTGGTTACTGGTCTCCTTTTTAATACCAGTCATTCTGCGCTCTGAGTCTTCATCATGTCTTACCCCAGTTACTTCGACACATCCGACTTTGTGGTCGATCCGCGATTTCAACCAGTGGAGATCCCTGCGCCGGCCGCAGTGAACTTCTCCTCACTCCGAGTGCCGCATCCCGCGGTACTCCTTGAAACCTCCATCGGCCCCAATGGCGAGGTTATGCTCCCACATGTGCATGAACATCCTGCGGCAGCAAATTCCAGTGACGTTCAACGTGCCCTCCGTTGGCGATGTCAGGCTTTGGCCAAGTGCTCCTACTGTACCACCAACAATCTCCCTTGCCGTTTCCGTGCTGTCGGCATCCCTTGCCCGAATTGCTTGTTCGCCGCGCACGACGATTGCTCGTTTACCAACCCAACGTTATTTTTGGAGTCGGTCCGAGAATGGCGTTCTGATGAGATCACCGGCGTCTGCCGTGAGCTGACTCAACAGATTACTGATCCCGCTCAGCTTGGTGCGTCTTCTGTATATTCCATTTCATAGTGCTTATGCTCCCAAGCCATCTGCTTCAATCACGCCGTTGAGTGCGTCGACCGGACTGTTCAAGGCGCTATCGCGCTCTTCGAGGTGCGTGTGCATCGTTCTTGTCGTGAATATTTGGTGATCGTCTATAATAGGCAACAACCCAGGCCTTCCGGGGCATCACCGCCGGTGGCTACCGGGACCTTGCCCGCCTCCCTTCTGAGTCGGAGCACCTCGGGCGCATTGTCTCTCTCGCACTCGACTCGCGCTTCTCCGATTAGAAGTGCCAGTATTCTTTTTACTGCCGTGCCCTACGCGGTCGACCGGCAGGATCCGGATTGATCCGCCTTGTTCGGTTTAGTGTACCATGTCGAGTATTTATCCAGATCTCACCTCCAATGTATTCTTATAATGCCTGCTTCCCGCAGTTTTTCAGGTGTTCGCGTGCGTATCTCCGTGCCAGCAGTAGATTCCTCAGAGGATTCAAATATCTCCTCATCCGATGGCGCCGCCACTTTTGCCACCGCTGATCCTTCTCCTGGCTCATCGTGGAAGCCACGTCCCATATCTGATCGCTTGGAGTTGTTCATAGATGGATCGGGGCGGGCACTCTTTTCCCAAATAAGCCCGCAACCATACCCCGCGACTGCCGCTGAAGTCACCCGGGCCATGAGTTACCGCCTTCCTGTTAGTGGTTTAAGCCATCTTGGCTGTATATTTGCTGACATCTACTTCAGCATCTTCACAGCTGCTCAGGCTGCCTCGAGCGTGGTCTGTTATGTGTTTTCCGTCACATGGGTGTCCCTTGTGGCCCTTGTGTTGTCTCGGGCTCGGATTCTTGCTGCTTCACCGACCCCATCAACTTCTTTGATTCAATTAGTAAATTCCGTGAGATCGAACTGGACGAGGTTTGCCGTGATCTGGCAGATCGCCTGTCCCACTTCAGTGTCGATCCCGAAGATGTCGGTACGTGATTTCATTTGTTTACCTTGTAAATTTTTGAACCTCATCTAGATTCATACTATGAACACTCAGTCCGACGTGTAAATCGCGTTGTTCAAGGCGCCATCCAGCGGTTTCAAATCACATCCTCAGCCACGAAAGGTCTTGCTTCCGAGGGGTACCACACGTTCATAGCCGCTTGTCAGAAGCCAAGCTTTCTTGGTCAATTTATCCAGATTGCCGAAGATTCTGGTGTTGTGCATCCGTCGATCAAGATTGCTGCCGCTCAGCGAGTTCTCGCGATGGCTCATTCCCAGTTAGAGTAGCACTTTAGTAGCCCCGTCCTCCTGTACCCTTTATTGAACCTCTATTCATGATATTCCTTGTTGTTCCCTTTGTACCCGAATTTTTCCGGTAACGCGGATCTTGCCGGACCCGTCCCCGCCCGTACCCGCGTGCTTCTTTGATGCTTGATGACGCGTCCCGCCGCGCGTCGCGTCGGCGGTTGGGAGGCCTTCTGCGTCTCCCTGGCGAGTGCCTTTCTCCTACCGGGCTATTTTCGTAGCAGTAGTGTAGCAACCGGCCAGTTTGTGCAGTATAAATTCATGAATCTCTTGCCCAGATTCTCCAGTATCTCAGATCTTATTCAGTCATGTCTTCTCCCGCTGCCTATCTTACTCCCTTGGAGCAGGTCTCCGTCGCTCAAGTCCTCTTCGCGATCCGGTATCAACTTCCGCAAGATCCCGTTGAACGGGACACCTTTTTGGTAGATCGCGCACACCAGATCGTGTGTATTCTATTCCCCAGCAGAAGCCTAGACCCTGACTTGATCGTAGCTCCGCCTCAAGGCCTCAATTGCTTCCTTTTGTCGAAGATGCGGCTACTGCCGAGTGTGTATTTGCAGGACCCCCGATAGTACGGTTCCCTCAGTGATACATTTTCGGACACAATTGGGCCAAAAGTGCCAAACAGTTTGGTACTTTGTACGGACAAATTTCGTCAAAATCTGGAACACTTTGAGCCATGCTACGGACATATTTGGCTGCTGGACCTTGTGGTCTGCCTGGCCTAACACCCCGGGCCATCTCTGTTGGCTTCTTGGATCAGCGGTTTCGACCGCTCCGCGTGGGTGTTCCTGGCTTAGCAGTGTTTTCTGCTGTTTTCTGTCGATCCTCTTTTCAGGGCTCCGGCCAATCCGGATTCGATGCCCCATCAAATTTTGATTCCCCCAGCAACTTGGAGACTTATACGGACAAATTTCGTCCAATTTCGGCCGCGCGTACGGACATAATTGGCCTTCGGAGGTATCAAACTTGTAAGCGTACTATCGGGGGTCCTGTATTTGCGCTGCGTACTGCTATGGCGCGTCACGGCTTCCGTATTGGTGGCCCATTCGGACGCGTGCTGAATGACATAGTCGTCTTCTGTTCGGATATCTCCCGCCTCCGTCGTGCCGCTCGCAGCCTTAAACGCGCCGAGAAGGATCAAAGTCACGCCGACGGCCCCATCCGCTCGGATACTGCGCTGGCCGATCTGGCCGAGTACGCGGCAAGTCTGGCTGCCTGGCAAGTATGTGCTTTCTCTTCGGGTTCGTTCTTCAACTATGCTGACTCGCAGCAGGCCGATCCTTTGGGCAATCACCAAGCCAGTTCGCACGCTGCCCCATCTGTTGGTACCAGATCCACTCCGCCCGAACTTCGCCCGACAGCATGCCCGACTTGATTTCCCCTACTATCGTGACTGATGCTGGCATCTCTCATTTTGGTGCGTTGCTTTCCTCTGTTTTGTTCATGGTTAACCTTCTAACAGTAAGTGTTTCAGATTCTTTTTCACCTATTTCT